CATATATGGTTTTGTAGAGAATTTCAAGCACTATCTTTTGATAATAAAGAGAGCTTTAATTACAGGGATAATAGAGAAGAAATCTTAAAAATACTGAGAGGCCCATTCTTTCTGGGACACCCGATAATTATATGTTCAATGGTTTTTAAGTGAATTATCTTATAAACTATATCAATTAGAATATAACTGAAGAAAGATGATCCGAAAAAATGTCAGTCGTTTACTAAGTTGATTAAAAAAGGCAAATATTGTAAAATTTTTTCTTGATGGCATATGAATAAACTCTGGAATATTTTTCTCTAGACGAAAACTCCAAAAAAACTAAAATCACCAGGATCACGATCAGATTACATTTACTACTGTGGTCATGAACGAAACCACTAACAATAGATTATTTATTAAGGATACGTTAAGTTCAAGATAATAAAAGCTAACTTTCAATAGAATCAATCGATCGAATCTGAATATATTGTATCGTGTTTTTTGAAAATATAATAGTAAAACTTCTCAAAGAAATTCTTCAAAATTTATTATTTCTCATGTGTTTTTTTTTTATTTGATTTTTCACAAGATCAAGCAAATCAGTTGCTTAATCTTGAATGATCTGACTGTTTGATTATTTTACTTAGATATTTCTAGGTCAGGAAATCAGATGGTAAAATCTTACCAGATAGTATCTCTTATCTTAACGACCTGAATTGTAAATTGCTGTTTGAGCTCAATATTAAGTCCAAAAGAAATAATAGGGAAGATTAGAGAAAGCATAAAAGGATTCCTGTTTATAGGCCTCTGAACTCCATAGATCCATTGGCAGGAAGCTTTATAAAATTTTTCTAGTCTTACTGAACCCTCCTTGCGTGTATAATATTAGTTTAAACGACGGGTTTCAGTTGGACTCGTTTCCTCATAAGTCATATTATAAGATTCTCGAAAGATCTTGCTGCCTTATAGAATATCACTATAAGATATTATAGGAAAATTTATTTTGTTGATGAAATCTTTGAAAAATCCTATCATAAGATTTAATGTAAGACTTCAAAACCAATATGATTTCATCTGATCTACCATATCTTATGTTTCATAATTGAAATTAATAATCAGAAAACTATATAGTTAACTTAAATTTCAATACTTCACACGAGTACGACATTCTACATTGAAATGTATTTTTCTAATAGATTGAAATACTTGATTTGACTACAATACTCATATTTTAGATCAAACAGCGTATTCAATCGAATTCCAAAATGAATGAATTGAATTATCTAAATTCGCTGAACTCTATTATTCAAAATTTTATAACAACAAATATTAAGTAGATCATATGTTTTAAAATAATGATTTAGATTATTATTATTTACTCTTTGAGATAAAAATGTTGAACTATATCTAGCTTGCTGTCTTTGAAGTATTTCTTCTAAAGCTGTTAATGAATCTGATGATGATGATGATGATGATGATGATGATGATGTGCGTGATAAACTATTTAATAAAGCTTTATTTTCAATTGATTTTGATAAATTTAAATTTGATTGTATTAATGATGATCTTGTTGATGATTGATGTTGCAGAAGAGTTAATGATGATAAAGATGATGATTCCATAATATTATTTGTATTATTTAATGTTGAATTTAAACTTGATTTACTTGAACTTGTTAATGATAATTGTTCATTAGGTGTAAAATAATCATCATTTGTTGTTGTTGTTGTAGCTGTTGATGATGATGAACCAGTTGTATGATGTAATGGTATTGATGATGATGAACGTTTGTGTTCAGTTCGATCAATAATTGATTGATGTTTTATATTTCGTGCTGAATTTGTACGTGATAATGAATATAAATCTGTTGGTACACTATGACGTAATTCATTATCATTTATATGATTATGTAGTTCATCAGTTTGTTTTTGTTGTGCACAAAAATCAAATGGATAAAAAATTTCTTCATCATCTAATTCATCATTTGATATTATTAAATGTTCATAAATATTCCAATTGTATTTATGTTCAAATATGGAATGTGATTGTAAAACATGTAAATCTGGTCGAAATAATGAACGTCCAAATGATGATTGTTCACTAAGACGAAACGTATTTTTAAAAAATTGTTCACCTTGTACAAGTGTATAATAATTTGATGAACCACCAAGACATGCACATGATATATTATTTAAATTTGTTGATAGACCAACATTTGATGGACGTTTTATATTTATTGTTGTTAATGGAATATTTAATGTTTGTTGAGGTTTTGTATTATAAAGAAAATGAAGTCGTTGAGAATGTTGATCATGTCGACGAAGAAATTCTAATTGTTCATTTACATTAGATGGTGTTGGAGGATGACATTCAAATTTAGCATTTATACGTAATTCAGGAATATATGCAGAACCAGCTTCTAACCATGAACCTGGATACAAACGTAATAATTGTCGAATTTGAATTGTACCAACTTTTAAAGTTAAACTTTCATTACAAAATATTGTGTGCATATTACACATACATAAACGAATGGGTGCAACCTAATAATAAATAATGAAATAGAATAGAGAATATGAAAAAAAATGTTGAGGCTTCTGCTTTTTTCGTTTGTAAAACACGATTTTAAAAGAATGTTGAAGTATAGAGGACTAAAATTTCGGTGTCTTCTTATCATTGTCAGTATCCCGGTCGATATTAGGTAAAAAATTGAAAGTATACATTTTAACAAGACAACATATACTGTAATCTACGAGTTATTTAATGAAATAAAAATCTTTATTCATCTTGTGAGCATTAATTAGAAAATCTCGTCGAAAAACACCACTGGTAAAGGTTAGAAACCTTTTTCTACTATAAACAAAAAACAGTAGAGAAAGAAAATTATATGTATATAATCTAAAACTGGCTCTTTCACTCTATTGATTCGTAAAAAAAAATATTTCCGATGCACATGAAAAAAAAACTTATAAAGAACGTTCGACAACGCGTTCTATTTTAGTCAGAAAGCGTCTTTTTTGTTTGTATAAAAAGCCGTTTTTACATCTAAGGAACGCTTTCCAATAGAACGAAAAAACTTCTTCAGAGTGCGTTCGACAAAAACGCGATCTTAACCATTATTTTTCTGATTCGTAAGAGTAATTGTATCGTGTTTTACATTTTAATATTGTAAAGATTGTGCTAAAAACTTGTTTTTTTTTACCTGTATGTTAAGAGCATTACCAACTTCAACAAGATTAAGATCAATTGAATCTAGACTGAATCGAAGAACATCATATTTAAGTTTTTCAATCCATTTTGCTTTATCAATAACCGGTGAACGTACAAGTGTATATTCATCTTCCATGATTTGTAAATAAAAATTTTTAAGAAAACCAATTAATTTTTCTACCTAATAAAAATAAATATATATTTATTTATTTATTTAAAAAAGAAAAAAATTTTGAAATTAATTTCTTTTGAATTTTGTTTTATAATTACTTGAATTGTTGTTATACGAGCTGATATTTTACCAAGTATAATTTCCATTTGCCATGCATATTCAAGTGTTTCACGTTCAGGTGGTAAACCTTCATGTGAAAGCATTGCATGACCACGAATAATTAAACCAGATAATTGAAGACATCCAGTAGATAAATGTTGATCTGATTTATTTCGCTATATTAAAAGTAAACAAAACAAAAACACAATTTAGTTTTCGAAAAACTAAATGAGATGAGATTATTTCAAAGTATTAGATGAACTTAGAAAAATAATCATTTATAAAATGGTTTGCTTTTTACTGATGTAAATAACAATCACAATTTTCAAACGAATACTTCAAAAACATGAACTTTTTTTAACAGAATATTTAATTCTTCGTAAAATTTGATAGTACGAACAAGTTTGTTTCGAATCGATTAATTTAAACTTAATTTTATAAATGTTCAATGACTGTTGATGATAAAATTGTCCGAACACTATTGTTAAAGTGTATAGGTGAAGATTTTACACCGTTCTTCGAACATATCCAATCTTTCCGAAGACCTTATTACTACACTAAAGGAACATTCTATATTCAATGAGTACGATATAATACTTGTTAATCAAAGTGATCACCATTATGTTAGACTCTCATCTTTACACTTCAACAATGACACTAGGACAGTTTTCTTACTTTCATCATCAATAACTAATGATCGTTGATCAAGTCAAGTTTAAATCTAAGGTACAAATCAATTTGAAAAAATAATGGATACTATTGACATCAATAAAAACCATATTACTTTATAGCGACTGTCAATCAATCACATTTTATGATTCTCACCCTATTGATCGCAGTCTACTCAAATCATGTGATTTAATTATAATAAGATTTTAAAAGAAGAATATAAGTTAGTTCTTAATGGAAATCAAATGAAGCAATAGAAGAAGTACTGTTATAAAAATGAGTGTCTGCAATGTAGACAACAGGAGAATGAAAATCAAAACAAGTCCGAATCTAAAACTATACATATGAACAGTACAACATTAAAAGCAGTCATCATATGGCTATATGAAAAGTTTTTCTTGATCAAGCTTACGAGGGAACATTCCCAGGTGTCTGAGCGCTTTTTATCCGGGGTTTCGCGCATCTTGTAGTCCATAGTGAACTGTGTGTATGGTAAAAAAAATTTCGGGTTTCTGGCTTGTTTTGAGGGAGATATCGAGCTCCTAGTGAATTTTCCTTAGAGTACGCCTACATTAGCAGCAAAGCTATACTTTTCAATTTTGACCTGAAACTTTGCCTGCATAAAGAATTTCAGAAATTTTGAATAAAATCTCTCTAAGATACAAAGATTTGAAAAACATACATACTATATATATTATTTATGAAAAAGGAACTATACCTTGATAGTTTTATATCTTAGAAAGACTTTGTTCAAAACTTCTGAATTTTTTTAATGCAAGCTAGTCTAGTTGAGGCCTTTATGCAGGCAAAGTTTCAGCTCAAAATTGGAAAGTATAGCTTTGCTGTCAATGTAGAAGTACTCTAAAGAAAATTCACTAGGAGCTCGATATCTCCCCCAAAAAACAAGCCAGAAACCCGAATTCTTTTTACCATAGACACAGTTCACTATGAACTACAAGATGCGCGAAACCCCGGATAAAAAGCGCTCGGACACCTGGGAATATTCCCTCGTTAGTCATATCGATCTCTATCAAAGACACTGGATGTTTTAGTACTATATCATTGTTTGATCTATTCGTTTATTAGAGAATAAGAAGTCAAAATTTTTAAAATAAAACTTAAGATAATCTTTTCAAGTTATTACTCATGGTAAGAGATAGTATCTACCATATAAATTATATTATATAATGTAGAATTCGTTGAAAAACTTCAATTACTCTAATTAATTATTTATATACTTACAACAATTGTATCTTCAACATAGACATTAATTGGTAGAAAAAGTACTTGTAATCTTGTTTCATCTAGATCAGTTGTCATTTCAAAACAAAGTCGTTCACAAAAAACTATTGGACATGGTTCATTATCAGTATGCTAAAAACACAAAAGAAAAGAAAAAAAACATCTTGTACAAAACAACTAAATCAAAATTTACATGAACAAGATGAGCTGTTATATTATGAAGTGCAACACGTAAAGTAACCATTAATGGTCGAAAATATCTTGGATCAAATGGAATAGTTTCATCAATAATATCAACTAATGGATCATCATGTACAATAATTTTCTTTTCACGTATTAATTCTGGTTCATGAATATCATGATATTTTTGATCCCAACCAAATATATTTTCCTTTTTTTTTTGTAAATAAAATAAATTGAAAAAATAAATAAATAATTCAACTTACTTTTACCCACCAAAGTTTTTTTAAAAATAAACCATGTAATAATAAATTAACAGGACCAATATCAATTTCAATATTAAACATATCATAATCTAATTTATTTGGATGAAATGTTTGACGATTACCCATTGATTTGACATGTTGAACATATAAAAGATCTTAGAACAAGAACAATATATAGATAATCGTATTATATACAAGAAATATTTTGCTTTCTTTACCAGATCTATTTGTATCGATTGGTGGTGAAGGATGAAGAAGAATTTGTATAAGAATTTTTATATTAGGAACTTCACCACAATCAAAGAAGCCATCACTTGAAAATAAAAGATATAATATTTTTATTAGTCCAATGGATTTTATGAAAAACATTGCATGGAAAAAAGATTAGAAGTGTGTGGCATCAAGATTTTCTTTTTTGGTTTTGATTGAGTTCACTTTTTTTTTTAAGGAGTTTCCCTTATGGCTACGGCAAATCTAATCTAGCCCTAGTACTAGTGACTTTAGTTTCACAATCTAAGAGAAAATTATTCCAGAATATATTCGTATTACATCTAAAAAATTCTTCAATATTTGATTTTTTTTTTATTTATTTAGTTGACGACTAGCACCTTTTTTTTTGGATCATTTCTTTTGAATTATGCTTTGATTTATAGGATACAGTAGTCGGAATAAGTTCTGCTACCAGATAAAAGGTATTTAAACTTTAATTATTTAGTCTTATAATTTGACTACAAAATAGATTTGTTTTTTCAGACGAAGATGTTTCAACATAGAAAACAAATTTCATAGTGTTTAACTCCTCATTTGATAGGTCATTCTCGTCTTCTATCATCAATAAAATTTCCATGTCATATAGTTTTAGTTAGCCTGATTTATGAAGTATTTTTTGAGTAATCTCAACATGAGAGTTGATCTGAATCATTGAAAAGTGATTCATATCTCCGATTAGTTTTAATCATTTGCCTTGAAAACTTCATGATCGTAGTCATTGATGGAGAAGAGATTCATGCTGAGACCATTTCAGATAATAGAAGCTTTCTCACACCTCATGATTATAGCTGATTGAAGTACCCTATATGTAACATAATATAAACATGTGTAACTATAATCTTTAGTTCCGCAAAAAACTATCGAATAAAGTGAAACTATTCTATAGGGTGAGATGAATATTGAATTTAAATTGAATTAATCTGATATTTACAAACATTTCTTTCAATGTTTTCTATCATTTCGAATGCAAAATTTACTATATCGATAGATTTCACAATTGATTGTAGCTTTCGAAGTAGTGTTAAAATGTCTTTTTTTTTTATTAATTCGATGTTTTAAGTGATGATCAATCTGACAAAGAACAATATCTAAAATATGTTCATCATTATAAACACTTCTGTATTATGTCAAAATTTTAAAAAACATCTTTCTATCAAATTTCGTTTAACCCCCCCCCCCCCCAGAATAAAAAGGCATTGCCTTCTATTATGTCCCAGCGAATCGGTCTTTTTTTGGTGGCGTTATATTATGTCTGGCCGGAAATTTTTTTTCGCATTTTTCCTTGAAATTGGTATGGCGTTATATTATGTCCAGAGAATCAAACGGTCCGGGGTAACCTTCTATTCCGGGTGCCTTTCTATTATAGGGTGGCGTTCAATTTAGGGGGGGGGGGGGGATGTCTTAACATGAAAAATCATAAACTATTGTTCTAATAGATTCTTTAATAATAATTATTTATTATTGAAAGAAAGAAAATACTTTTTATATTTACCGTTTTTCAAATTCATCTGATAAAGTTAATTGAGATTTAACTCCATTTGGTGTATAAAAACGTTTATGAGAATCAATCCCTTCTAATATATAATACATTCGATTACTTTCTGGTATAACAAGACGAGCAAGAATATCTTGAGCCTAGAAAATAAAAATCACAAAAAAAAAAAATAATTTTCTTAAATGAAATTAAACAAACATCAATTATTATATCCATTGGTGTAACTTTTGGACAAAATTCAACAAATGGTAATGGATATATCAATGAAAATGATTTAGCACAAACTGATATAAAATCTTAAACAAAAATAAATAATTTATAATATCAAATTAAAAAATTTTTTTTTTTTATTTACTATTTTCTGCTGGTTGTTGTTGTTGTTGTTTTTGTCGATTATTTTCATTTGTACAATCAATCCAATTTCCTTGATTACATGGTATTAACAATTCTAAATGATTACCTTCTAATTTAATATCATAAATAAATGGTGCAAATGAATAAATATCAGGTGGTACTGATGAAGACCAATCATTGAGTAAATCTATTAGAATAAAATACTTATTTTCGTAAATAATACAAAAAAAGAAAAAAAAATAATTAATTTACATTGAAAAAAACATTTATGTTCAAATACAAAATAAACTTGAGGTTTTTTTGTAATAATACCAATAGTCCATACTTGAATGGAATTCCATATACGTGGATAATGTATATGAACATTGATCTTAAGAAGCAAAAAACAAAAAAAAAAAGTTAATTTTTATTTAATATATAAAACTGAAAAGTATTCGATTAATTTTTTTAATGCGAAAGTAGCGAACATACCAACTTTCTATTCGAAGCTTTTGAGAAAACATTTTATTTGATAGAATAAAATTATATGTATCCGATCTCTGTATGATCTGTCATCATGGAACTACAAACAATTTACACAAGACTCAACAAGTACTTTTCTCTTATTTTTATTGAAAAATTCAATATTTTTGCTATGCTTGACGCTTTTGAAACCTTCTCTAAACTTGTTCGCCATTATAAATCCTTTCATCTAATTGATATACGGAGTTGTTCATTGATCATAATTCTAGTTGTATCAATGTATATAATATGACTACGAACAATATGCAAGCAACAACTTTGATACCATTAATTTAGAGAAAAACCTATATACAGGGTGGTCCAAAAGTCACGCACCCGACAAAAAATTGAATATCTTCATTAGGGCTTGAGCAAACGGGGTGATTTTTTTACCAGTGATAGAGGTATGTACAAACTTTATATCCATACAGACATGTCTAGGAAGACCCTTTGTTAAGTATCACTATTGACCTCAACAAGAAAAATTTTACTTTTTCACATATAGAAGAAAAAACAATAGACTTAACAGAGGGTTTCTCTAGGTTTATCTTTATGGATATGCAGCTTGAACATGGTTCTATTATTATTAAAAAAATCAGCTCGNATTTAAAAAGAAACAAATCCATGCCATAATAATAGGATGTCAACTAAAATTTTATTTATTAAATATATTTCGTCGATCGCAAAATCGAATGTGCAGAATAAGAATGTTAAAAAAGAAACAATGAATTCGTTATTTTTGCATGACGTCTTTCTTAAAAACATCTGCCTCTCGTATCTAACTGAACTGCAGCATTACAGACAGCCCTCAAGTAAAATCGTACTAGCAATTCTTTTAAATCTATCCTTATTTTAACAAGAGGCGGATCAAAATGAAGTTTAGTTTTTGATCGCGAGGGGATATTTTATGTTTTCGATACAGCTTTGATCAGGTTTGAGGGCGGGGGCATGATACATTCTAGTATGAGGAAATACGTTAGGAAAATGTCTGATTTTAGAAGCTTGTCTTGTGGAGAATTATCATTCGATAAGTGGAGATTGCATTTGATTTGATAGAGTAAGTAGTTTTTGTTAAATGTCATATTCTGCACGTTGTACGATGTTGTTTTGACGATTGACACTTTGGGTCATAATTTTGTCGAAGAGTGCAATATTTTTGTGATGACATCTTGTATTTAGCTGTTGATTTTTCGACTGGAAAGCTATTTATGCATAGGTTTGTGCCATTTCTTCAGCTTTAGTCAGCGTTTGGATGATTAAATCATTGGTAGAGATTTATTGTGCTTCAAAAAGTAATTGTGTCAATACACGATTTATTTGAGGTAATTGGATATTCTGAAAAGTATGTGATGTTGGGAAGGGTGTGGGCGTGGATATGGGTGGAGTGTGGGTGTTGATGGGTGTGATGGTAAAGAGAAGACTCATCCACACACTCACACCGACACCCCACCGCCACTCCTATGGAGAAGATCTGACAAAGTCGTTGCATCCTTAAGGGGTATTCGCCGATAAATTGGGTACCATCTATGTGGTAGACTGGTTCTATCATCGAGCGAGGCGTCATCTTACATAGGCGAAATAGAGCACTGTCATTGTGGGCAGAAATGGTAAAGGAGAAGAAGCAACTCAGTTGAAGAGACTCATCGCTTTTTTCTTTAACCATCGTGGCTATTTCTATGTCGTCAATTGCAGGAATCATTGAATGCAACGATTTTCTATCAAAAAGACTTATTACAATTGTTAATTATTTCGTCTTTCTATTAAATAAATAACGATGATTGCAAAAGAAATGGATATTCAACGAGGAATGAAGTTTATTCCTGCTGCATTCGCAAGCACATGAACAGAATATGGGGTGTATATGTGAGTGTGTTGACTTGGACAAGGGTGAAAGTGTAGATGATGTTTTTCGCAACATTCAAACTGACACCTACCGAATACGCACACTCGCAGTCGCTTTTGATCACAAAGAACATCTAATATTATAGTACTGCTTAAGATATCCATCAATATAAAATAATATTTATTTAGATTAACGATAATGTCATAATAGACCGTGACTTTTTCTCTCGTCTCTTCCTTTGCATATGTTTTTCTAATATTTTAAGGAAACAAAAAACAATCATGCTTTTTATATTGATCGGTTCTGTCTTTGCGTGTCTCGCAATAAGTTTCCAAGTCGATTTGCCTGATTTTAATTGTAATGTAGGCGGAATAGTTAAAAAGGATTGGGAGCCACTACGTGATTTATTTCAGCAAAATTTCCAAGATAACGTCGATTTAGGTGCGTCTTTAGCTTTTTACTACCGAAAAAAACTGGTTGTGAATTTATGGGGTGGGTGGTTTGACAAACAGAAAACGGAACCCTATGATAATAATACACTACAACTCGTATTTTCAACATCAAAAGGCCTGGTAGCGATGGCTATCGCTCTTTGTGTACAACGTGGTTTATTGAACTATACTGATAAGGTTATCAAATATTGGCCAGAGTACGGACAGAATGGCAAGGAAAATACAACAGTAGCCGACATCATGTCCCATAGAGCTGGATTACCAGCATTAAGAAATAGTAATATGTCAATTCGCGAATATTTAGATTGGTATTCAGTGATTTATAAATTGGAAAAGCAAGAGCCATATTGGGTACCGGGTACCCAACGTGGTTATCATGCATACACTTATGGATGGTTAGCTGGAGAACTTGTTCGACGTGTTGATATAAAAAAAAAGAACTTTAGGACAATTCATCACAGATGAAATTGCAAAACCGACGCAAAGTGAATTTTATATAGGGCTGCCTGAAGATTACGAGAGTCGTGTATCACCAATTGTGACAAAAGCCTTAGAAAAGCAAATGTTCAATCTGACAACTGATTCATTATTTCAACAAACACTGCTACCTTTCTCAGAATTAAATTACTTTAATGATCCCATAGTACACCAAGCTGAGATACCAGCAGCGAATGGGATAACAAATGCTAGATCCATAGCTCGAATCTATGCATCGCTGATGGGTGACTTAGATACTTCAAAAAGATTATTAAATGAGATAATGTTAAAACAGGTAACGAAATCAAATACACCTGAAAATGAACCAGATCAAGTTTTGATGCATATATCGACCATATTCGGAATGGGTTTCATGACGTATGGCTCAGTGTTTAATCCATTGGGGCCAGGGACATTTGGTCGCAATGGTGAGTTCAACAACTGTTTGCCCTTTGAAAGCACGAGCTTAGCCGTGTATAGAATACTCACAAAGCCAAAGTAGACGTTTATCAAATCATTTTATCCCCGGAAAAAGACTTTTAGCTTTTTCCGAAATGAGAAAGTTGTAGAATCATAATCAGCACTTAAAAATTCGTCTGTTTTCTATTTTTCAAGTGATTTATAATTGAGAAAACTAAAATGAAATACAAACATCTATTATTCTTTATTATATACAACATA